CTTGGGAGGCAGAGGCAGGCAGATCTCTGGGAGTTCAAGGCCAGCCTGGGCTACAAAGTGAGTTCCAGGACAGGCTCCAAAGCTACACAGAAAAACCCTGTCTCGAAAAACCAAAAAAAAATCCCCTTCCCTCTTTTTGCCAGTTTAGAACATGCTCTCAAGGACACACAATACTGAAAAAGGTTTTGTCAAGTCCTAGTCCAGGAGAATTCTGCTGACATCCATGGCAGTCTGGCTTGAGGAAGAGAGCTTAACATCTTAGTTCCTAGTAAAGAAACTTTATGCCTTGTCAAAATGACACTAAGGTATCTGCAGTTAAACTTGAAAACTAGTTTCTCACTTCTCTGCATGTATCCTTTTACTCTCCTAATCAATGTGACTTTGGAATGTGGCCATAACACTATGGAAAGTTCAGCCGAGTCAAGCTCTGTCAGGACAGAAAAGCCATTTGCTATCCCATGGAACCTTCCTAGTACTTCTGCTGAGCTCTTCTCTTAGCATGGTCTTGCTTGAACGCTCTTTAAAGGAAAGAAAGTCTAGAGCTGTGTCTGCCCTAGATTTCAAGAACCTAGAGAATAAAGGGGCGAAGTGCCATGGAGAATTTGGTGTCCAACCCCTATCATTACAAGTCTAGTGCTATGGCTTAGACATGTTCTGTCCTTGAGATTCACATGCTGCACATTTGTCCCCAGTGTGGCCGTATCCAGAGGTAAGGTAACCTTTAAAGGGTGAAGCCTAGTGGAATGTGACTTGGCCACTGAGGCACCACCCTGGGAAGGAATTAATTTAGTCCTATGGAGTTGGGTTAGTTCCAAGAAAATGAGAGCCCAAAACCTCCCTGTGAGCCTTTCTTCTGCACATATTCAAGCTACTATGATGCCATGCACAATGAGGTCCTCACCAGCGCCAATCAGATAGTGGTGCCATGGCCCCTACAACCTTCACAACTATAAGCTAATCAATATCCTTATGTAGCACCCACTCTCATGGATTTTGTTGCAGAACAAAAAACAAAACCTCCAGTCCATTTTCTATTCTGAAAACAAAGCAGAGACATCTAAACTACAAACCTGCTCAGGCCAGTTTTTGTTCAAAGTGCTGTTTCTGCTCTTTTTGGGAAAAACTTCATGTAGCCCAGGCTAACAAGGCTTGCCTCAAACTGTTGATCCTTCTGCCTCTACTTCCTGAATGCTGGGATTACAGGCCTGTGGTTTAAAATTCTTTAATGGCTTTCCACTGACGCCAGGAAAGTGCAAATACCCAAAGAAGGCTTCTAAGTCCAAAATTATGACAGTGTGCTTTTTATCTTCTACTTTCTCTTGTCTAGGGCTTTTACGTAAGAATTTTCCTTGACCCACAACAACTAACCCATGCTCATCCTTTGCCCGCCTTCTCATCTTCCAGACCTCTGTCCATATATACCCTTTTCTATTAGGGCTCCCCATTTATTTGATTCATTTATTCACATTCATGCATTCTCTCTTCTTTCCTTCTTTCGCCTCCCCCCTTTATTTTCCTTCCTTCCTTATTTTTCTGGTTTAATCCTTTACTCAAGCAGCTTGGACTTCCCTTACCACAGCATTTCTTCCATAATGCTGCTTTACAAGCTCGCCTCTTCTATCTAGACTCTAAATGCACCAAAGTAGGTACCATGTCTGCCTTAGTCACCATTATGGGTATAACAGTGTGTATGTAGCACAGTACCTGTGCTACAGCAGGATCATAAAAATACATTTTTAATGTTTACTTCTTTATTTTTATATGTAAGTGACTGTATGAATTTATGTGTATCCCATGTGAACAGGAACCCACAAAGGCTAGAAGAGGGCATCAGATCTCCTGGAATTAGAGTTACAGATGGTTGTGAGGTGCCATGTGGGAGCCATTATTTCTCCTAGCTGCTGAGCCATTTCTTCAGCTCCCACAAACACATTTTAAAGGAATAAAAAAATGGGAAGGAGATAGTGAGGGAAGGAACCATAATATAGAGCAAGAGTGTTCCTGAAAATGTTTTCAGGTAGAATCTGAAGGGATTCTCTGAGGCTCTGTAGGTTTAACGCATGATGCTTCTGGCTTGAACAACAGCAAACCAGAGCTCGTTATTTCCCTGTAGTTCTAAAGTGGAAGCCGAGAATTACAGTTTTTAAGAGAAGGAAGTACCAAAAGATGTAGATCCAGGACATGATTTGGAACATCTTAAGAAAGGGGTTCAATAGTGCCAGGTATGGGTTACTTCCTATCCATCAGTGGAGTCCCATGGACTTTCCCAAAACATTACAGGCTATTGGCATTGTTCTTGGTTACTCTCCAGAATTTGGTGGTAAGACCTATTGTTGAAGATACCACATATTTGAGTCAGTAGATGTAGAGAAATTGAGCTGGCACTGACCTAGAAGCTTCATCTCTAGTGGCTAGCTTCCACAATAGTGAAGATACCATACAGGCTTCTAGGGAATGATGTACTCAATAATCTAACTTGCTGTAAATCTTACAAGATATGCCCATGGGGAATAGTGGAACCAATAATCCAGGAGTAACTGAGCACTTTTCTGGTTGGATTTAAGGCTCAATCCACAAAATGGAATGCATGCCTGCTACTGTTAACTGGACCAAGAATCCGCAGCTGGGTAGGCTCCTTAACAGACATCATTTTAAACTGTTCCCTAAATATTTATCTTTATAGCCATAAATTAGCGTATTTTCAACCTTTATCAGGGAAGCTTCTTTTTGCAGCAAATAGTGACTAACATAAAGACTCACAATTGATCAATATGCAGAGACTAAGAAGATACCATAGACTGCTCAGCCCTAAATAGGACATTTGTATCATGCCCTTCTCTGCAAAAGCCTCAGGGGATCACTAGAGAATAGGGTGGAAAGATTTTAAGAGTCAGAGTTACTACAAAACAGTGTTTCAGGACATGACAGCCCTCCACACACATGAACTCACAGTGCCTATGACTGTATGCACAAGGCCTGCACGAAATCAAGCCAGCCAAAAATTCCAGAATGGAAGAGGGAGAGGCTCACAAAGTCCCACCCCGAGGTGAGGACCTATTGGCAACTGATGGCTGCTGGGGGAAGAAAACCATCCCGTTTCTTCTGGGCAGTGACTTTTGATAGGTTGCCCATGTTCCACAGGACGGTCCTACACCCATGCACACACTGGCAGCACTAAATGGACTCTGGGTTTAAAAGGAACACAAGAAGTTGGAAGGTAAAAGTGATTGTGGGGATATGGAAAAAGTTGGAGAGGAGGAAGTAGGGAGTAGATCTGTCAAAACACATTATATTCCTGTATAAAATTCTTAAACAATACATTTAAAGTGAGGGAGAAGTTCAAAATGTGGTAATCAGCTTTAACTGTCAACCTGACAGGATCTAAAATTACTCATTAGACAAACCTCTATGCAAACTTGGGAGGGATCATGTGGGTTAGACTGGCTTCTGAGCATGACTGTAAGGCACTATCTTGGTCAGGTAAGTGCAGTGGGAAGGCATTCCCACTGTGAGTGGCACCATTCCCTAGTTGGGATCTCAGACAATATAAAACGAAAAGGTGGGGTGAGCCCAAGCATTCACTGCTCTTTTCTTCTGCTGCAGATGCAATGTGACCAGCTGCTTCCAGTTCCTATTGCCTTGACTTCCCCACCATAATGGATTGTACCTTGAACCCTTTCTCTCCTAAACTGCTTTGGTCAGGGCATATTTCATCACAGCGACAGGAAAAACAACAAATAGCACCTGAGACAGGAGCAAAGAGGAACTACATTCGTTGGTTGGAAATAAAACCAGAGTGAAAAACTGGCTCCACGGGCAATCCTGGACAGTTCGTTTAGGTTTAAGAAGGAATGGAGCTCCATTAGTGAATCTGGCACTGAGTTCTGAGGAACACTGGTCTCTTTAGAAGCCGCTCAGGCTCTACTAGGATGAAGTCAGTGGTTCACCAAGGGATACGGTCTTAACTCCACATAAAGAAAAATGTTTTATACTCATTGGGGTTCTACTTCAAATTCATTAGAAAGGCAGTGCGTATGGTTAAAATAAAAGTTCAAATAGCAGAGACACCCTTTCTGCTATCTCCCTGTCTGAAGTCTATTAGTCTCCATGACAGATGGGGCCTGCCTGGACAGTACAGTTTGCTTGGTGGCACAGCTGCAGCATTTCCTAGTCTTTTCTCACTGCTCAAGCAGATGGAAAGAGAAGAAATGAAAGTCAGGTCCAAGTTTACTAAAGGCTGAGGCAATAATAAATGCTCTGTTAAATTTCTTCAATTGTTGACATAGAAAAGTACACAAAGGCCTCCTTCCTGCTCCCTAAATTTTTTTTTTTCTTTCTTTCTTTTTTTTTTCCGAGACAGAGTTTCTCTGTGTAGCTTTGGAGCCTGTCCTGGAACTTGCTGGACAGTCTGTAGACCAGGCTGGCCTCAAACTCACAGAGCTCCACCTGCCTTTGCCTCTTGAGTGCTGGGATTGAAGGCGTGTGCCTGCACCTGCACCACCACCACCACCACCACCACCACCACCACCACCACCACCACCACCACCACCCAGCCAAATAAAGTTTTTTATACCTATGACCTAGAACTTATTTTGACATTCATTGTGACAGAAATAATGTACAGTCTAGAGCACAGTGACAAAATTTAATTTCTATCAAAAAAGAACACTATAAGTTTAGTAGGTCCACCTGATAGTCTAGTATCATTCAAATACAGAGCCCGCTCTTAACAAGGGACTCTGAATGTGCTAAAGAACAAAGCAAAGTCTCTGTCACCATATACTTTCAAGTCTACCTTTATCTGAAGTTTACAGGCAGAAAATGACACAGACAGGGAAGGAGATGGGAGTCCTACAGAATAAAGGCCTCACAGCCCTGGATTAAGACAGATACTCCTTTTCTCTGCTGTCCTTTACTTATCTATATTTCAGGAGGCATTAGAAGGTCACAAATGTCATTCCACTTCTGAAAATAGACAAGCAGCAAAAATGTCATCTTACCTGGGTCCTTCTTCTTCACCCTGAAATAAAAAGAAGAAACAGTGTTAGAAATCATTGTTGGTAAAAACTGGTTGAGATTTCTTTCATTTTCCTCTTTATGCCCAAACCAAAAGCAAGGTTGTTTTATTTATCTTAACAAAGACAAACCAAAAGATGTCTAAGAGCTAAGACAAGGACTAATATATCCCTATGTTCAAACTCCCAGCAGAGATGGGCTAATAATTTGCCCTTGAAAGCATGGAATGTGAACGCACAGACCTAGGAGGTCTAAATAATAGCCTTGCTTTTTTATTTCTGTGGCTGGCAGTATTTAGTTCTGAGCAAACCAAGAACCCCAAAATAGCAGCAGGTCTTGGGCAAAGCTGACCAGCTCCAAAAGCATCAAGCTGTTTTCTTCAAAAACTTAATTTCTGTCTTGGTCTAGCATTTTTTCTTGAAATATGAACACAGTGGTTCTAATAAACAGCATACTAAGGTAGGAAGAGTTCTAAATTAGGACTCAGGAAATAGAGATTCTTCTTGAAGTCTGAGACTTATGAGAATGTGCTACTGGGACACACTAATTGGCTAAAATGACCCTTGGTTTCCTCCTCTGTAAATGGGTAGTCTGAGCATCAGTAATCTACCTCATTCATTACCCAAACAATACTTTTCCTCTTTTTCTTATTCATTCTGCAAAAATGTGTATTCTCTTTCTAGTTGTTTCATTTTCTTGACCTAACTTGATCAGTAACCCTCACAGCAGATTATTTGGCATCTCCCTCTGTAACAAAATGAGAGCTTTCAAATGACTTTGAAGCCTTTCCCATGGCAGTTCATTCATCCTTCTAGTGACAAAGTACCTTTCACACTCCCTTCTTCAGTAATTTAGGGTTGATTTCAGTAGAGAACATACCTTCTGGTTGTACTCCCCAGAGAATCAATTAATAAATGATTCCAACTTGTATAAGCTGGAACCAGACACTGTAGGTTCAAATCCTGGCTCTATCACTTACTTGCTGTGTTACTCTAGCCATGTTATTCTGCCTCTTTCAAATTTAACCTCCTAGTTTATAAAGTGAGGTAATAACTGTCTCTGAATTAATAGGATCAATATGAGGATTAAATAATGCTCAAAATTGCTAAGCATACATAGTGCCAGAGAGGACATTGTTTATAAAGGTTACTAATTAATATCAGTAGTAATTTAGTATGGATCATTTAAAAAAAAGTGTGTATAAGTGCTAAGGACAATGATCTAACCTTCTATGAGGTCTCAACAAGGGGCTCATGTACACGGAAAATAAACTAAGTATGTTATGGGCTCTACTGAAGGCATAAACAGAATGACTTCAGGGACAAAAGGGAAGAGAGGGTGACATATACATTGATACTTGAGATAAGCAGGATTCTCCCAGGCTGACAATACTAAAAAGTGGGAAGAAGACTGAACTAACAAAAGAAATGCATAGCAGTTTAATTAATACAGTCACACAGTTAGTTAGATAGATAGTTAGATAGATAGATAGATAGATAGATAGATAGATAGATAGATAGATAGATAGATAGATAGATAGATAGATGGTTGATAGGACAGTAAGAACAACACTGGAATAACAAGAGCAAAGACATAATAGTTTCATAGATAGATGATAAGATAGATGAAATGAAGGGAGGGAGAGAGGGACAGAATTTGGGTTCTGTGGAACAAGAAAATGAGGATGTGCCTATGTATTCTGGGCAGTGTGGGTTTAAGAGTGCAAGTGGGATAAAGACAGATTAGCAGACATTAGGCCTGTAAAGGAAGCTCCAACCCGGAAAGTGATTTCATCATTCTATGTACTGGAGATTGAAAAGAAGGGCATTTCTTTTCAGAGAGTTTCAATATTGTAAGGGCACTAATCATTTGTACTTCAATGAGAACAGGGGGCAAAGTAGTAGAAAGTAGAAAGGCTGATACAGGGGTGATATAAGTTGCATTTTGATCAATTAATACATCTCAGGAGTACTATAATACAGCAAAGAAAGTCATATAATTTAAATTTCATGAGTTATATAACTACCAATGACACAATTATACCTCAACAAAATTTTCCAATTATCTTTGGCTATTTAAACATAACTACCTAAGAGAACCTTGTAGGAAAATACATCTAAATATACTCCCATGATTTAAAGCAAGTTCTCTTCACAGTCACACATCTTGGTACAATGGTTATGAACTGGGATTTGTGTATTTCATGGTACACATGCCCTCAGTTCTAGCACTTAAGCTGAGGAAGAAGGGTGGTGAATTAGAATCTTACCTACATAGGAAGGCTTGTATGAGATTGAGTAGGATTTTTGAGTTATAAAAACAATCTCGCATTAATCCCAGGATTAAAGTTTTATAATTAACATTTCCAGATTCAGTTTTCTAAACAAGTATGTGATATAGTGTCCAATAATGGGGACCATTATTGAGCTTCTTCTGAATTACTAATTGATATTGTTCATCAGGGAACAGGAGAGGAAAGAAAAGGCAGTTTTGTTGTATTTTCACCTTTCTCAGAAACAACAGTCACTACTACAAAGCATGCAGAAAGTCAGAACAAAGGTTTCACTACTAAAACAATGAACACAGTGTAAGTCTATTTAGATGGCTTCACCAGACATCCAGATGGCTATAACTTGCTGGTAAAAGATGTGCACATGCTAGTCCTGCTACCCCAAATGTTCACTGTGGTGATACAGTGTACCCTAATAAAGCTTGCCTGGGGATCAAAGGACAGAGCCAGCCACTAGATTAGACACAGAGGTCAGGCAGTGGTGGTACACACCTTTAATCCCAGCATTTGAGGTCTCATGCTTTTGCTTAAGAAGTACACACACCTTTAATCCCAGGAAGTAATATGGCAGAGCAGAGAAAGGTATATAAGGCATGAGGGAACAGGAACTCACTCTCTTTAGGCTGAGGATTTCGTAGAGGTAAGAACTAGTAGCTGGCTGCTCTGCTTCTCTGATCTTTCAGCTTTCACCCTGATATCTAGCTCTGGGTTTTTTATTAAAAGACCATCTAAGATTTGAACAACAGTTCACCTCTATCCTGAAAACCTTGCTAATTCTAGGCACTCCTTGAAGATCAGGCCTGACTCAGTAACTTCCTCCCTGAGAGCTTGGGGAAAATAATGCTCTTTTCTACTCTTTGTGTCTGTGGAGTTCATTTTTTTTCACCTAGCAGCTAAAAAAAACGATGGTGACAGCACTACATGGTGTCTCCCTCAATGGATTTCAACCATTTGAAAAAGTTTTGTTCGTATCTAGGGTGCATAAGTATATAGTAAATAATTACTTAGGAGTTCAGGCAAAGATAGAGCAGGATTTAAGATTAATTTCTATTGCCATTATAAGTTAATTCTGGCTACAAATATCAGAAGTGACTTGTTAGATTAAGCATTATTCCCAAATCCCTCCTTCCAACATCATGAATGCTCTTGGATGACACAATGCACTCTAATGTGACCCTTTCTTTCTACTTCCACCAGGTTCACTAAGTTCAAGTTGAATCCCAAATCTGCTTATTCAGGTAAACCTGCAATCATCATGACAACATGCAAACATCATAACGAAAATGAATGTAAGAGAGACAACCGTTGTCCCCAAGAGTTGTTTTTTGAGAATTTAAATGCTTCACAGTATTCATTAAAGATAGTAAAAATTAGTAACAATTTTGAGTATAGGTGGAACATGCAAAATACCACAAAACTTAAATTACAACAATGTCTAAGATTCTACATTTAACTTGCTTTGAATCGTATCTCCTTCACTATGGAGTAACACTAGATATTTTAGGCAATAGTTTATTGTTGATTTCTCAGGGTGCTGGGAATCAAACCCAGAGCCTTAGCATGCTATGTAAACACTTCCATTGAGCTATGCCCTCGTCCTAACTGGGCTTTTAAAATGGTAGTAGATGTAGTTCATACTTAGAATCTGACATTCAACTTCAATTAGCAAACTCACATTTCTCTAAAAACACCTGGACTCAAAGTCAAAACTAGTAAATTTTAAAATTCAAAGTAAATGCTAAAGATATATACATTTTATTTTTATTAATTTCTCCACAGAAACCACCTTTTCTAGGATTATCTATCTCATTGCAAGTGAGAACTCTCCTTTCAAAAACTGGAAGGGTTTGGGGCATATACTCAATTGACAGTATGTCCAGCAAGCACAAAGCTCTGGATTCCATCCTCTGGACAACACAAATGGAGGAAGGCGGCATATGTCTCAAATCTCAGCACTTGGGAAATAGAGGCAGGAGATAACCCAGAGGTTATCCTCAGCCACATGGCAAGTTTGAAGCAACAGTTCACCTCTATCCCGAAAACCTTTCTGTCATTTCTCTTCAGGAGCTCTGTATTCAAGGCATATTCCCTTTTAATTAGTTTTCAAAAGTCTAATCTGGTATGTCCTTCTTAAGAGTTTATATTGTTTGGGTTTGTTCTGCTTAAATTCGAAGGTTTACATTTCCAACTGAATGTTGGGCACCATTATTATTTTTCAGACTTTTTTAGCTTAACATTTCTTTCTTGCCTCTTGATTAAATGAGCATCAGGCAGGCCCTTTGTTATTGTCCCACGGGCCCCTGAAGCTTAGTTCAATTGCTTTTCAATCTTTTGATAATAATGGATCACTATCAAACTGTCTTCAAATTCACCACTTCTTTTCTGATGTCTCCAATTTGCTCAAGAGCCCATGCAATGACTTCTGTGTCATGCCTCTGTGTGTTTATCTATGTGATACTGGACAGAGACCCCAGGGTCTGTCTACACATGCTATGTAAGTGTTCTACCACTAAGCATTGTCAGTTATCATGGTTTTAAATTTTATGTTATCATTTGGTCCTTTTCTGAATCACCTGTTTCCCAGGTGCTTGTAAATATCCATTGTTATAATAGCTGTCCTTGTCTGATAATTCTAATAGCTCCATAATCTTGTTGCTGCCATGTGCTTTTTTCCTTACAGTTGGGGTTCTATCAGTATAATGAGTAATTTTGGACTACACCCTGAAAATATTAAGTTGTATTACAGCAATCTGTAACTATTTATAACCTTCTATTTTAGCAGGTCATCAACCTGTTAAGTTCAGAATGAGTATGTCCTGAACTACTTTTGTGGACTCTGGTTTAAATGCCAACTTAGTGTACATGCCTCTGCCTGGCACAGATGACAGGACTCCACTCTAGTTTCCACAGTTAGCTATGGAAAGGGAGAGGTGCCAACTCATTACTACAGAGCAGAGTGTAAGCAAGTTTCCATCCACTGATCCTGGAGTGGAGGAGCAGTGGCTTGTTAACACAGGGTAAGAGGAAATAGAGCTCTGCAAACAGTCTCCACAGGGAAGGCTATTAGTACTTCCTTATTGAAAAAGCAGTCAGGAGTAACGTTAGAGTTCCACCTACAGGTAGGTGCATGTCAAATGAGCCTTACTACTGAGAGGAGAAAGGGCATAAGCAGAAAATAAGGTTTTGCCTAAAAGTTCCATGGAGAAATAAAGATAACTTGTGGTGGCTGGAGAGATGGTTCTGTGGTTAAGAGGGCTGGCTGTTCTTCTAGAGGACCTGGGTTCAATTCCCAGTACCCACACAACTCACAACTGTCTGTAACTCCAGTTCCAGACAGTTGCCAGAAATACATACAGGCAAAACACCAATGCACATAAAATATAAATAAATAAATTATATCAAAGAGAAAAAGATAACTTGTTACTGTAGGGGAACCTAGATATCAGATATTCAGCCCACTAGCTCCATTGCAATAGTGCTAACTGGGGCTGATGAGCAGTGAGCTCTTTATGTATTTACTCTAGAACAGGCAGATATGATCAAAAGATTTCTCTAGAACTGGATAACACTTTTCCAAGTTCTTTGGTTACAGACAGTAGATTTTTCTTGGGAATTCCCTTTCTGTCTGTGTCTGTTAGTGTTTCCATTTTGTAGAACACCCAAGCTAGGAAATACAGAAAGGATGGGAATCTTGGTAACACTCTGCTTTGTAGGTCTTTAAGTCCAAAGTTCTCAGGTAGTACTATGTGGTGATATTGTGTTCCCCAAATATATTGTGTATCCTAATAAATTTATCTGGGGTCAGAGAATAGAACAGCCACTAGATATAGAGGGGAGAAAATGGTGGCACACATGCCTTTAATCCTAGCATTCCAGGGGCAGAGATCCATCTGGATCTCTGTGAGTTCAAGGCCACACTGGAAACAGCCAGGCATGGTAACAAGAGCCTTTAATCCCAGAAAGTGATGGGAGGAAGCAGAAAGGTATAAAAGGCGTGAAAACTAGGAACTAGCCTGGTTAAGCTTTTAGGCTTTTAGCAACAGTTCAGCTGAGACCCATTCAGATGAGGACACATAGATTTCCAGTTTGAGGAAACAGGATCAGCTGAGAAACTGGCAAGGTGAGGTAGCTGTGGCCTCTTCTGTCACTCTGATCTTCTAGCTTTAACCCAATATTTGGCTCCAGGTTTGTTTTTATTAATAAGACCTTTTAAGATTCATGCTACAGTACTGAATCCTTTCCCCTCTGTTAAGTGACTTTCATTCAGGGATTAGAGAAAGGAGTAAAATGAAACATGATCATGACTCCACCGGAGAACCAGAAGCTCGGTTCTATTTCTTTGCCTTGTTTTGTTAGATAGGCTCTCACGTATCCCAGACAGGTTTCAAACTTATGTGGCCAAGGATGACCTTGAGCTTCTAATCCTGTCTCCACTTCCTGAATACTGTGTGCCCCAACACATCAGTTTTATATGGTGCTAGAATCAAACCCAGGGCTTCAAGAATGCTAGGCAAATGCTTTACCAAGTGGCATCATGAGACCTGACATTCTGTTTTTAGCATTAAAAATAAAATAGATTGATAAGAGGAAAGTTGGAAAGATGACTAGAAATATAGATAAACAATAAGGGAAATGTAAATGAATTAGAACTTAAGTGATTGGTTATAAGGGTGTAATCCAGAAAATCCTTCCAATTTTGCTGTATGTTTGCTTGATATTTATAAAAATATTGAAAAGGAAACCTTTGACTAAATTCCAAATACAGGTGATTTTTCTTCTAATTCTGTATTGTACAAAGGAAACAAGAGAGTTCCTCTGTGGAGTGAGAGGTATTGGATATTTGCTCTAACTAATAAATTACCAAATTAATTGGAATGAGATGCTATTAATGACACAGCTCTTTGGAAATGCTCTACCTAACAGAATCCTTCTTTTTATTTGTTTGTTTGTTTATTTGTTTATTTATTTATTTATTTACTTATTACATATACAGAAGAGGGTGCCAGATCTCATTACAGATGGTTGTGAGCCACCATGTGGGTGCTGGGAATTGAACTCAGGACCTCTGGAAGAGCAGTTGGTGCTCCTAACCTGAGCCATCTCTCCAGCCCAGAATCCTTCTTCTTATTCTTATAGCTTCATAGTGTCCACAGCCTAGTCAGTCTAAGCTTTGTCAGCTATTGTATCCTAAGAATAATTCTCTAAGCTGAAGTATTTAAAGAAGAGTTAATGTTATGGAGAAACTAAATTCGTTATTTAGAATAATAATAAAAGAGAGGGAACTAGTCACAAATGAAAGCTTTCTTTTTGAAAGTATAACTTAACATAGGGCCTCAATGTGAAGGGAATCTGAGACAGTTATTGCTTTTGACCCTTCCAGTCAAAATAACTAGCTCACCTTAAAATGCCTTAAGTGAATTCTCCTGATTTCTCCCATTACAAGCAGGATACTTAACATACAACACATAGAAAAGGGAAAGCAGGCAGTAGAATAAGACAAACTTAATTCTAAATTCTGGTTCCATTCTACTAACTAAATGACACTGGGTTAGTGTTTCTGTAGTTCTTTGATTCCCAACATAGCATCTATATAGTCTTAAGAGTTAAATAAAATAACTATAAAGTATTCTCTTGTATATCCAGAAATTCAGACACACACTGCTAATTTTAGGAAGACTGACATGAAAAGAATAACATCTATTCTTTTCACACACAAATGAAAACTAATCAAGAGTCTTGGATGGGTAGAATGGTACCTCATATTCCTGTTGGACTGACGTGGACAAGGCCTGAGTCTGGTACTATACTCCTTCACTGGCCAGTATATATATTCCTTGGCCTGGGTAAGACTGCCAGTTAATGCTGAACTCACTAATTCAACAGCAGTCCTGGAAAGCCCACAGGACTGTCTCACGTTTTCTTATAGAACAAACTACCTCACCCTACCTAGCATGTGTTTGACCAGAAGTTTTACTTAACATTATGAAGTCCTATTGAACACTAGCCTCTCTCTGAAATAGATGTTTTGTGGTTTTTTAAAAATGGTTGTTTTGGCTGACTTACCTAACCTACCTACCTTTCTACTTTCCTATCTATCCTCCCTCCCTCCCTCCCTCTCTCCCCCTCTCCCCCTCTCCCTTCTTTCCTTATGTGTATGTGCCTGAGTATATGTCTATGTAACATGTGCATACAGGAGCTTACAGAGGAAACTGGATCTCTGCAATTAGTTACAGACAGTTGTAAGCCACTATGTAGAAGCTGGGAACCAAACCTGGGTCCCCAGCAAGAGCAGTAAGTTATCTTAACTGCTGAGCCATCTTTCTAGATCTTCCTCCCCCATGTCTGTATATTCTTGGTTGGCTCTTTAGAATTAGCTGTGTAGTCCAAGGCTGGCCTCCAACTCAAAGCTCTGACTGCTTCTGCCTCCTAAGTGCTGAAATTAAAGCTAGTTACCAACATGCCTAGCTTGTCATGATATATGTATATGTATGTATATGTGCATTTATATATATGTATATACACACACACATACATATACACACACAATTGGAAATGTCCAAATATGTTTGAAATATCCCAACACTTTATCTTGTTATGAAATGCATATAGTTAAGTAATATTGATTCACATTTATCTTGTGTCTTTTGTTCATGTTATTCTCTTTTCTTTTCATAATATGCTCTACTTTTTGATTTGTTTTTTTCTTAAGAATTTTGGTTTTCTTTTTGAAATAGGGTCTCACTATACTGGCTGAAGTGATCCTCCCTTCTCATCCTCCCAAGTAGCTGTGCCACAATTCACAGCCCCATGTGCTGCTCTTAATCCAGCAAATATGCCTTCAATTATACAGATGGATCCATAAAATACCCAACAGGAAGCACCCCTTTGTGGTGATATATTGTGTATGCTAATAAATTTGCCTGAGGATCAGAGGACAGAGCCAGCCACTATATTAGACACAGAGGTCAGGCAGTGTTGGTACACACCTTTAATCCCAGCATTTGAGGTCTCATGCCTTTGATTGGGAAGCACACACGCCTTTAAACCCAGGAAATAATATGGCAGGGCAGAGAAAGGTATATAAGGCATGAGGGAACAGGAACTCACTCTCTTTAGGCTGAGGATTTTGTAGAGGTAAGAACTAGTGGCTGGCTCTGTCCTCAGATCCTCAGGCAAGTTTATTAGGGTACACAATATATCACCACATCCCTTTGCTAGTCACAAAATTAAATCCACAATTTTTCACTCAGTACTATTTTAGGCTTTACCTGACTCATTCTAATTCAGTCCTGTTCTCAAGTCTAAAAAAAAGTTATCATTTCTATATTCATTTCACAGCTTGAGATGGGTTATGTCTGTCACTTGCTCTGTTCTCTAGTTTAGATTTTTGGCTTCTCTTCTTAACTATGATTAGTATCTGCCCCACTGACTACAATCCTTTAAATTATGTTGGATAATACTTTGCTAGGACAAAAAGCCAGGTATAGACCCTAGTAGCCAATACCTGCACTCTTCAGTCCATATTAGTTGAAATCCTCCCCAACTTTTCAGTTCATTATGTTTAGAGATCACAAGCAGGCATTTTTATAGCTAACGAATATGACAGTCAGGTTCCTTATAGTTTTCCTGCTAAAAATCACCAACATTTTCATTTACCTCTGCCTTTGGCTCAGCTGATTCATTAGAGGTATCAAGTTGTTCCTTGGCCTGGGCCATCTGAGTCATCAACCTATCCATGTGAGATTGGATGTCCGCCAGTATCTCAGTCACATGAGCTGTGGCCATTGCTTCTTGGATGTCCACTAAGTGAAGGGCCTTCTGCTCCTCATCAGCAATCACTTTCTGAACTTTCTTAAATTCTTGCTGTATAAATACCTTCATCTGGTCTCGAGTTACCTGTAAAACACAGACACGTAAGAAGTGTAGATTGAACATAGCAATGAAATGGAAAGGTAGAGTTTTTTAATAGTGCTAAGTAGTCTTGCTCAAAATACAGATTATGGTTGCTATCTCATTTTGAAGTCTTAGCAATATGCTCTCAATAATATTCTTCCAACACCTTCGATAAATGTCCTGGTAACAGTTTTTATTGTTCAGGAACTAATTCCTTATCTTATTTTTTTTCTTTTTTTTTTTTTTTTTTTGCTTTGGGTTTTATTGATTTACATACCAGTAATATATAACTACTTTAAAAAATTATAATAGAAGAATATATGAAATAAAAAGTACAATTTCTAGCCAGATATGGCAGTTCATGTCTCTAATCCTAGTATGCCAGAGATTGAGGCACAGGAATGTCAAGAGTTCAAAGTCAGCACAAACTACCAGTGAGTTTCAGGACAGCTAAGCTATAGAGGACCCTGTCTCAAAAACAAACAAAAAAGAGGAGAAGAGGAAGAAGTTTGAACCAGGAATAGTGGTACATCCCCAAAACCTCAGCACCTAGAAGACAGAGGGAGGAGAGAGGATCAAGGTTTTGAGGTCATGTTGGTGAGTATAATAAGACTGCCTTGAAAAGTCAAAACATAGCAATAATAACAAAACTCAAGGAAACTACCAGTTCAGCAGGTGTTCTATTTTTTTATATGGTTACTCACACATACCTAAAACTGGGTAAAGTTTCTATGGATTACAGTGAATATATGGCTCTATGTCTTGCTTTTCCACTTAAAATGTTAGTGAAATACAGACAGCACCGTCATCTTTTGTATTACTTTTTACCACTTGCAGGTTATAAAAATATATCCCATTTATTCCTCTTATAACAGAAATGTGCTATTTCTACATTTTTGCTATTACAGACAACATAACAATGAATATCTGAGGAATAACTCTTAATATTTACATGAGTGTCTTCAGAAATCTCTCAAGTCACTAAGCCATTTCATACATATGCTAAAGTTATTGTGATGGTGCCAAACTGCTCTCTGAAAAGGATGGAGTGTGAAAGGAATGTGTGAAAGGAAGCACTTCTCTACAATCTTATCAAACTTCTACATTTTTTAATATAGTAGGCAAAAATGTCTTATTTTACTACAACCATAAACCGAACACACACA